TTATCATAATAAGCCAGTATGTTGTAAATGTAGGACAAGTTTATATAAATTATTATTACTCAAAGACACATTAAAGTGATGAAGACTAGTATTCATGCTGGCTTACCAGTAGGTATTTGTATTGTAACTTTCGTGAGCCATACTAAATAAATTATTATGTTTTCGGCTTACTCACATAATCATTTGACGAGGAACTTGACTAGTTTCAAGCCATGCTAGAGGCTTATATTCATGAGTAGCATTTCGCGACCCGCAACGCGGCGACTGTCGCGCTGCTACGTACCAGTAGGTACATAATAATATTATTATTACGGCTTCATATTTTTTCATAAACTGGTAGTTTACCAGTATTTATCTTACATGGTTTATTGTTAGAGGTAGAAATAGGAAAAAATAAAATCATTACATATATTTCACATACAATTTATTTTCTTAAATTATTAACCATTGATTTCCAAGAGTACAACTAAAAAACAAATTAAAGTACAAACACGTTATGCATCGCTAACTAAACACAACTGTAGGTAACTTCTCTTGGCAAACCAGTACACATTCGATTGACTACGCCGGCGCCGGCGCACCACTCAACGAGACGTACACGAACGACAAACTCCCGAGTGCTGCTAACAGTCACTGTATAATCTTAACTTGGTCGAATTTTAACAACAGCCTTATTCCATCGAGAACAGTACAGCAATCAGCAACTAATGTGATTTGCTACGTATAAACATAGATCCCTAATGTATCGATAATACTTAATGTATGCTAGGTCTGAAAGCGATAAGTCTTGGTATTGAGCGAGCCCAACTAAATACGTGAAATATAGCATACTCAATCACATTGAACTCTTATAAATAAAATGTAGTCGCTACACACCGCCGTGTCTACTGTCTACCAGTGAGGCACTCGCAGTTACAACTAATACAATCTGTGACTTCGACCATTATCATTAGTTTATTTATATTCTATTTTGAAAAATTGTAAAAGTGGACACAAAAATTGTATCTAAACATTGAAATTAGAAAGACAAGCGAAACGTGTTTGTTCATGAAACTGTAACAAAATTGATTACTGTTATTATTTGATTAAAACATGAAGTATAACTCGTAGAATATATATCTATGTACTTAGAGTTCAAATATCCATCTGTGACATGAAATACATACAACAAACACTCGTCAACGTTTCCAAATATATATTCTCTTACGGCGTTACACTCGATTTCATAACTATTTTAATACAATGTCTAATGTACACAAAATTTTAACCCTTCTTTTACCCGAAATACTTGAAACGCTATTTTTATACACAACAAACCTTACACTACGAATGTGAAAATATTTCGTCACAATATGTTACATGCAATATTTTACACGTAATTAATTATTTTCTTATGGACTGTAAAGAAACGTGAAATGCATTAAGTTTTTGTTACACCCTTATAAATATATTAACATTATTATGTTTATTACATAACTATATCAGTCAAAATATTTTCGCAGTATTATCTACGAACCGGCATCGGCCCGGCCTGTGTGTCTTGTGATGATGATGATATTCTTGATTTTACATATCCTACAGTGGGCCGTTAGTAATGATACAGTGCTAATTGACGATTGAACTTAATTAGTTGGTGGTATTTTTATATGCAGGTTAGAGCATCTCGGGGACGCTGCACAGTGCACGCTAGTATATTAAATAAACACACGGTGGTATCGGACACACAAGCTCGTTCGACGCCGGTTGTAACCGTCGGTCCCGGGCGACAAGTGTTCGGGACTCACGGTAGTAAAGTTATGCAAACTCATTAAAAATTAAAATAGCAAGCAGAAAGCGAGCAGCAAATTATTTGTAATTTTTCCAATGAATCGGTCAGTCAATTTTGATATTCAAAAGTTTATACTACGAGTTCCTTTAAATTAGACGAAGAGGCGAACAAGCCCTATTTCACAGTAATAGCAAATAATTTGGAAGTGCAACGAAAGCGAGAGCCGCCTTACACGTCGAAGCATAATTTGTATTTACATGTTACATGAATGTATAGCCTCAGCGGGCTGTCGTGTACTATTCTAATTAGGTACTCGCCAGTAATGCGCCAATTTCATTGTTTAATTACTAACAATACTATCCTTTGTACAACGCCAATAACATTCTTACAAATCTAATTCCCATTTGATACACTGCCGTTAGTTTCGCCTTAACAATACGCTATGATACTAACAAAATAAGTGTCAATATTACTTACATACATTATCATTTACATACATATTAGTAGAACGATGCACGATTCGCGATTATAGTTATATTTACGATTTCCGTCATTACACGTTTAAAAATCTATAAAGGCATCTTTACCTCAGACTTTAGATTTAACACCGTCGTTCGGATGGTGTTGTTAATAACTAATTAATTATAATTAAGTTAGATAAAAATGAATAAATAAATATAGTTACCCAATCGACGTGAAGGGTTCACGTAGTGAGACCGAATATTAGTGAAGGCGCGCGCGCACCGGGCGGCGTGCGGCGCCGGCGCTTAACGCTCGCTCGCACGAGTTGCCGCGCGGGCGAGGCGTGGCGCCTACTCCGATATCATATCACTGTTTCTATCACAATTAACTAATAATTTCACCAACGTCATTAACTTAATTACCGTACGTAAATTATAACAAAATTAATTGAAAACTATTTAGGCATTTGATGGCAGTATCGTAACTGGTTGTATTCAAACTAATTATAATGTACAAAACACATTTAACCGCTAATACTTAACTAATGGTAACACGATGAGGAACGGACGTGTATCGCTCATTCAGGTAACAGGATTATCTAATATTACAAGTTGTTTGTTATGTCGACTGTAGCTACTTAACGCGATGTAGAGTGCAAGTACAATCCGCTGTCAACTTTGTCTGTCCACAACCTTCACGTGCGAGACTTTTCATTGTGTTTCTTTATTCGTCACTGACAGGTTGTGATGTCTATATTATTAAATATTTATTTATAAGTGAGAAGGTATGTGGCTACTATTTGCTTTGAATACGCCGACGTCGACCGTGAGAAAGCTAAGATATAAAAAAATCTAATTAACTAGAACCTAAGTCCTTAGAACGAACTTTTTGGTTGTAATTACTTAATTTTAACAAGGCTTACATCGCCCCCTATAGCTAGTGGTAACTGTTCACCGTTGATGGAACGTTTATTACAAATTTTAACATTAACGATTAATACAAAGTGTTATTTAACGATAACGGCGAATAAATTTTAAGAAAATGAAAGGCAGTGATTACTGACAGTAGTAGGTTTGAAAGTCTTTTCGTAAGTTTATTCATTATGTATGATTTTTTTTGTGATCATGTAATGATACGCTTTTATTGTTTGATACCTTATTTTATGTTAAGATGTAAGTCGTGTTAGTCATATATTTACTTCGTCTTTACTAAATGTATGTAGGTATTGTAGTTCAGGAGAGTTAGATGCGTAAACACATGAAAATGATGGATGTACCTAAAACTGCATGAAGAGGAATGCTAGAGGGCTAATGCTGTGATGTTGACATGTAATAATGATATATTATAAATTCATAGTCTCTGTCGTGTCTTTCATTGTCTCGATATGGTGATTTGTGTGATGCATGCATGTTTACCTGTTTTGTAATAAAATTAGGACTCCACAATTAAATCACTTATTTATTAATTATAGATAGGTGTAAATCAATCAAATAGTTTATGCAATCGAGATTTAACGCAATATGTACAAAATATTTTAATGTATGTATGTACAAGGTGTATCTACATATACTAGAGGAACGATGCGCGAAAGGAATTCAATGATACGAATGCGATATGAAATGACATAAACGATTACTACAAAATTTGAATATCCGAACAAAATCACGGTACATTGAGCACAATTACATTTGAACACATCAAAGGAAGCAAAGTATAAGATCAATTAATGTCCGAAGCACCTACGCACATAAAGATAACGTTCGTCAGTTTAGAAATGCATCGAGAGCAGTCGGCGGCGCGCGCGGCGACGTCGTCGTCACGCGCGGCGGCGCGGCGTGGCGAGCGACGGTCCGGCGCGTGCGCGCACTCTTACACCTAGTTAGACCAGAATAGAGAAGTGAAACGTTCAGAACGAAACAAGTATTGTGTTATGCGAAGTATTGGCAATAAAAATGCATAAGTTGTGACTATAAGAACCGCGCGAGCCACCGCGCCGCTATGTTAGTGTATAAACAGTACAGTTGTATACAAGCAGTCTTGGTAAACACTGAGAGTAGGTACTTAGTGCTACTTACATTATGTACGAACAAGTCATATAAAATTAAATTGAAATTCTCAATATTACACACCCAGTAATTAATCTACTGGTTAATCCTAGACAATATAAAATGCAAACTAAAACAGCAGTATTTCATTTACAAGAAACAATTCTGTCTAAAACAACGACTTAATTACCTATATTGTAAAGTTTACTCTATATTTACAGAAATAATATATTATGCGATTCTCCGACTGACAAATTTAAATAGTAACATAATATATATTTTATTCTATTTAACACTATGTAGTATACACTACCACGTATAAAACACGCATTCAAGTCCCTGGTACCTTACGTAATAGCTATTTAATAATAAATCAGTCTGTCGTATGGGACGTTTTAATTCCTCTACTAAACAATAAACCAATACACTCATCGACTCAACAAAGGTATAAATGTACCGCACTTGTGTTGACTGTCACTGTTTGTCGCACTGGGCGGGCGCACTTATTGTCGGTGCCGGAGTAGGAACATTTGTACGAACTCTTGTGCAGCGCGGTGCGCGGGAGCCGCGCGGTCGCGCGTGTGCTCGGCGTGGCGGCGCGTGTGGCGGCGTGTGAACACATGTGGCGAGTGCGATCATAAGACGGGCGTGCGGCGGGGGAGCGGGCGCGGGCGGGGAGTCAGCCGCTCGTACATCGAGAACTAGACGCCCTGCTGCGCCATGTACTATCTGATCTCCGCCGAATTGAGCACGAAAGGTACATAGAACATTTTGCTCTCCAGCAACAGGTTCGCCGCCGCTTGGATCTGTAAGTGAAAACGACAACTAAGTATCGTGAAATCAAAAGCTTTCCTTCCACTTTCTATTGTGAATGTATCTTGTAAATTTAACTTGGCGGGATACATGACAAATTTGCTATCTTATCCCTTGGTAACGAGACTGGCTGTAGAAAATGCGTATTTATGCAAACATATTGATTGACTAAGATTTAGTATCCTGAGTGATCTACGTACCACTCTCTCTCGCTATAAAAACCAACTAGATACTTATTTGTTTGTAATTGGAGGTGAAAGCAATGCACACAATTCAGTACTGTTTGACATGGTGCCTTTGGCTTCTATTAATTCAACAAGATATTAAGAAACTATGAAACAGTAGGTAGCGACTTACCTCAGGTATCCTGGCGAAGAGTTCCTGTAACCGTCCTGGATGATGCGGAGCAGCGTGCTCCAGGTAACTGCGCAACACTTGCACATACCGCTCCTGAATACCCTCCAACTCAACTTCTGAAACAAACGCGAACAGAATTAAACATCTCTTATATTATAGTGAACCAATATGTAGGAATAATTTAATTCATCAAAATCATCGTAAATATAAAATATTCTACGAGTGCTGTGGTAGTAGTAGTAGCGAATGGCATTGGATTGTATTGATTAATTTATATTACTACAATCATGCAATGACGATCACGTGTAGTGCGCCTACTCGCTTGTAGATGGCGCTGAGCGGTAGCGGTGAACCAATGCCACGGCGCGCGCGGTGCGGCGGTGACGTCACGCGCTCAGTAGGTCACTCCGATAGCAGGGCAACGACCGCGGCTAGCCGTTGACCTCCGCTCGAGCTCGCTCGCGTCCTCATCGCTGTTGCCGTCTCGCTCTCGCGCGCGCATTTTTCCACGATATTGTACGCGCGACTGTTTCGTGTGTGCTGTTATTGCGACTACATTTAATTGATGTTTGTTTATTTTTGCTGAACAATATACAATTTATGTAGATTATAATATTCCTATCGAGAATAATTTTGGTGAACTCAAATATATTGTTAGTGATATTAATACATATAGTATACAAAACATGCCGTTTTAACAGAGTCACAAAATTACATTAATTAAAGTATGATTTTACCCTGTGATATCAGTGCCCTGTACGAGTGCATATGAGCCGCGCGCGCCTGTTGTATCGGTTACGTAAAGAAAGGCGCGCGAGACGTAGCGGTACTCGTTCATTCTATAATCTGCGCTTGCGCTTTTTTCAATGCGCGCACTGCGCTGCAAAAGAGAAAGTTCGCCTTCCGCGTCGCGCTTTCCGCTCCGAGAGTGAAATGCTGTCCCGTTTTAGCTGACGTAACTAACGCTACATTATTATACGCAATGCGCCTTTGAATGCAATGCTACAGTTTTAATTCTAAACATAAAGGGCAACCAACTATGGATGTATTGTTTGATTTAATTACACAATAATTAGAGTGTTACGACTGAAATACCTTAATATTTTTATAATTTGGGTTTTAAGTTTGATTTGTTAATTATTTGTTGGTACAATATGATATGAAAGATACTACTTTATACATAGTGACAAATAAGTCGATACGTTCCAAAAATTCTAAAACATTACTCAATGCGGCTCACATGCAACAAACATTTTGTTACAAGTATCTAACAAACACACACACAGCGGCACAGCCGACGCGGGCGCAGTTGCGCAAGCGCTTTCCATTTCACCGTAGTCCGCACTAGTACAGCTATGGTACCAACCAGGACACACACACACACAGGTATACTTGTGTATAAAGTGAAAATTGAACGGTGTCAAACTCGTACAAGTAACCGTGGTAAATTATAGGGACAATTTTCCTTCTCTATTTTTTACAAACGTTCGCCTAAAATTTTTGAAGATAATGGCTATTTTTATTGGAATCGCTTAAAATCTTAGAATCAAAAGGTGCATCTTTCGATACATTTCTCTTTTAGCGGTGACTGATATAAAACAGTGCGCATGCGTTTCAATCAGTTCATAAGTAGGTTATCAACAATATCAATTTGAAGCCAATTCTGTTCGATAGTTAGCTTCATTGACAACTGGCACATAAGTGTTCCTTGTGTTATGTACACAGTAGGTACAAAATGTACTATTTGGAGGATTCTTTGATAACCAAGTACAGCTGCGACTTTATTATTTCAGATTTACGGATAAGTAAAGGCATAAGGAAAAGTCCTTGTTTACCCAATCCGTTTTAAAATGCTATATTAGTCATAGTGAACATTGACTAATAACATTTAAAATATGAGTGAACTACTTTCATCAATTTTGATGATGTCACCGTCAATTGAGAATTTAACAGGCCCATAACGGATTGGAATAAATGAAATTTCTTGGGTGCCATATGCAAGAAGTATTGCTTTCATGGAGTCAAACTGTCACATGATTCATTATTCACTACTGTCTGAGACGACGCTATTAATCTGTGTACTTTGGTAACTGTTGCAGTACGTACATAAACATAGCATAGTATTATTATGTTGAGAGTTTAATTTACATAAGCATAGTGCAACATAATACGCGGTATTTCCGAGCGCGGCTAAACACTCACTGAGTACTTTCATAGTTTGATAAACAGCGCACCTACTTAACGTATAAATGTGCATGCGCGGTGAAAATAATTTTCAAACATGGCGCTAGAGCGTGGTGCGACCCAGTTACTGGCGATAACACAGGATGTCACAGTTTCCCTGCCATAGTACTAGGACGAGCGGACCAACTGTGATTAGCCATGTAAAACATTATCGTCGAAGGTTAGATGTGACTGAGTTTACGTCTTGCGAGTTGCGAGGTACATTCTATTGCGTCTCAAACTTAGTTATTGTAACTTAACTTGCGGTGTAGCTAATGAAATTACGTTTTCAATTTGTGACTATATTTTACAAGGTTATGAATATAAGTACCTACTTATATAAGCGCATCATTTCAGAGCGCATATGCGTCGTATTTAAACGTGGTGTAGAAGAGTGGTCGAAGAAATTATCCAAATTTTCCGAAACAAATAAAGCAATTATTATAGATGATATCAATACTTTCGTATGGCAGCAAAGTTCACTGAGTGAAATTGTTATCAACGTTGAGAAGTGGTTCCTAATCGGTGTCGCGAGCGGCTCTCGACTCCGCCACATCTGGGTTACTTGTAACATAAATCATAATAATATTAACGAACACTTTGCACCGCGCACATCGGCACTTATACTTGAGATTTTTATTGTGTTGTCATTTATTGCATTGTGCCTATTAATCATAAGATAAAATCTAGAGCCAGATTTATGAAGCCTTCGTATCGTATTAGAAAGTATTTTTTGACTTCTCTTTCTATGATGATAAATAGCTGTTCTGTTTATTGCAGGAAGGAATGCAGATAAATTTAATTAAAAGTGAAATGATTGTTCTATTGAATTTATTCGACTAATAAAATATTCAAGAGTTGTATGTCACGTAGTGCATATCTTCAGGAAGTAAAACTGGCATTAAACGTGTTGGATGTTAAGGCTAGTACCTAAGTAGATATAAACGGGCAACATAATGAGTCAGGTCGACGTCATAGCGTAGGACGCCTAGCTTGCGTAACAGTAACTGACCTACATGCATCGTGGGCCGATGCACCCCTTAACGAGTCCGTAACTGGATTACAATGTGGTGCGTTGACTTACTCAAGGAATGAACTAACGTATCCCAGTGGAGTTGTGTGCACAGCTTTATGTCATTTGTGTCATTATGATGTGGAATGAGGAAGTGTTCAAGTAAATTGCTTATCGACAACTGAGGACACTGCACTATTCCTTAAATCCGATCCGATGACCGTTTCGCTTACGATTCAATAAACATTTAATTGGATTATACGAATTTACTGCAAACATTATCTGCTAATTGAATATAAAAAAGATTATTCTGGTTCCGTAAACAAGGAAACGTCCATTCATTCTATTTACGTAGCCTAAATAAATGGCCCCAGTGGCCTGCAATGCGGCGAAAGGTTATCCAGATCCAATTAACACAAAAAAATAAAAGATTTGTCTGAACTCTAAATTTTGACGTCAATCTATTATTTAGAATACCAGTTTGTCAATTAAGATTTAGAGTTATTTTTAATGGGTAGATAATTTAATAGGGTGATAGCGATTATCCGAAGAGCTTGAACTGTTATTGTAAACATTGCTGCATAAAAAGAACTCAACGTTGTAGATCGTTAATAGTTTGAAGACCAAGTTTTAATTTCTGAGCTAAACTTATTTTACAATGCACTGAAGTTAGGAGAAAGTAAGAATTTTTTTATAAACATTTGATTGCTCACATATCTTTGCAGAAGAGTAACTGTCGTTTATCCTTACTAATATTATAAATCGGAAAGATAGAATTGGTGTATTGGTATATGTCACATAGGCTATTTTTTATCCGTTTGTGACGCGAGCGAAGCTGCGGGTAAAAGCTGGTCTTAAATATATGTGCAACGTCGATGTTTAATGTCCATTAGCTCATTGGATCATCTCATTGGACATAATTATACGACTGAAAAAAAAAACATTAAATACAAATAAACTGCTTTTACCTTGGTTTAAGAGTATGTAGACTTTCAGACAGACGTACTCCTCCATTCGGAGCTGGATGCGGCGGAAGACACAGGTGATCTGCGTCATCTTCTCCACCACCAGTCCTACGTCCAGCCGCAGCTGTTCCAACGTGATGGGGCGACCCATCAGTGACGTCAGGCAGTTCTGTAGCGTCCTGAGGTTAGCATTCACCTATGAAACAAATTAGTAGTCGTTAATATAAATTACTTTACTTTAATCAATGTTTTTTTAAATTTCAATTTAGAGTATGAAGGATAGTTTTCTAGATATTTTATAGCAAGAACTGACGACATTGTACTTAATATCCTTATATGTATAGCAACGATTTCATAGTTATGTATGTTCTTACATCTCATTTAACAATAATTGAATGCAAATGAGGTATGTCGTTTGCCAAGGGCTATTCTTGTTAGTCATAAATCCTATTAGCATATTACAAAACTAACATCATTTTAATAACTAAAAATAGTTGAAATACCAGTTCGTCTGCTTTTGTAGTCATTTCGAATCGGTGAAAATTGTGTGCATGCGCGTATGCGAACATAATACGTTACATTTACGTAATATCTAATGAATAAATAAAGAGGAAATGCTCTAGACAATGAAAAATACTTTCTGTGTAACTACCGTTGTTACAACACCGCGTGTGCAGTTTATGTAACGCATGCAATTCTTAGGTCGTGATTTTGTTAGTTGCATTTTGTTTTCCAATCGCGTTAAATAAAAAATATCCCTCATTGTTTGATTCTGATCACATAAATAAATACAGCTAATTAAATAGAAGTCAAAGCTTAGAGAATGGTAAGTAAATCAAGTTCTAAGAGTTAATCTCGACATCTGTAAGATAATAGAAACGTTCAGCGTCTGGTGCGCTGCATTAATTGACTAGTGTAACACAGCTGGTTATGCGGCGAGTGTGCAAACGTCCGAGTGCAACTAGTTGTCTGGCAGCCGCAGCCGGCGACTTTCTACCGCGGTTGCGCAAGCGATGCAGATCACGTAACTGCACTCCGGCGCATGTGCGGAAGTCTCTGGAGCGAATGTGACCCGGAGCGTGCTTGAGCTACATCTAGGGCTCGTTAGTCAAATTGTGTGGAAAAATACAATTTTATGAGACTTTCGTAACTAACGTTGTAACATTAACTCGTAGGTACTCACCTCTTGCATAAAGTCTTGTTCGTGGTCCGATGAGGGTGGCGCGTGGGCATGCTTCCCGTGCATCGCCTGGTACGCCGCCGTCGTCAGTACTGAGATCTCATGCCATTTTTCCATCAACAGCTTGGAATGTATTTCCATAGGTATTTCCATTATAAATGGTAATTTTTTTGTCCAAGCGACCATTTTGTGTACGATCGAGTCTCCGATCTTACATAGTTTGTCACCGATTTCTGAGGTGTCGTGGAGCAAATCTGGTAGATGTCGCACCGTAGCAATGTCTTCCATGGCATCGCAATCGATCAACGCTCGGATCATGTGTAACGCCCTTTCCAGGGGTACGGCACGATCTCGTGATGATGATACGGCGCTTTCTAACCGTGCTCTTAAATGGACAACCTGGAATGAATACGAATGTTAATAAAAATATTTTATTTAAATGTAATGCCATTAAGTAAAATATATTTTTCGTAAGATAACTTACCTCGCTGGGATTAGTGAGAGCAGTCTTAAGAATGGTACCATTAACGAGGTGAGATGGGATAGGCGGTAAAGGGTCTTTGGGCTTCTCTGGTGGTGATGCTCGACTTGTTGTCGTCGCTGCCTTTGCTTTTTTATTGTGTTTCTTATATTTTACTTTATATAGGTTATAGACGGCACCACTATTTCTACCACCTGGCATCCTATCTTCCCGTACCGCTGTAACATAAAAATCATTAGTAACAATTACTTACTCTATGAAATTCTATGAAAGTAAAACTCTAAGTTTAATTAGGGTCAATACACACCTTGCAATACCATTCCTTGTTCGATACACTTTTTGAATCGGCAATATTGGCATCTATTCCTTTGTGCTTTTGTGATTTCACAACCACCATCAGCGACGCACGTATAAACTCGTCGATTCTGCACTGTTCGTTTGAAGAAACCTTTGCAGCCCTCACATGTAATAATGCCATAATGAAGTCCCGTTGCTTTGTCTTCACAAATCATGCAAATCATGGGTTGTTCATCTTCATCACGTTCCGCTTCAGGGGCATAAGCTCGAAGCTCTGGTCTGGGTAGCGCTAGCGCGCTGGCTCCTGCTACCTGTGATGCACCCGCGACACTCCCGGCCGCAGCACTCAAATTCAAGGCAGTAAGCTGCTGATGCGCGGGCAGCTGAGATACATCTCCTGCCCAAAGTAGTTCCATATTTAATGGAGGCCCACGCGGCCGCCTCAGCTCACCGCCCAGATTGAGCAATAGCCGCGCTGCTGATTCTTCACTACACGTAGCTGGGTCAGGAGTCGGTGGTGTAGGCGTATGCGACGCGCTTGCTGCTGGCTCTCCACTAGATGTGGGTGCTGGCAGTGTCCAGAACATTGTCCGGACTCCACCTGACTCGCCCATGATTACAGCAGGAGTACCTCGCCATTGTGTTGACCCTCGTGCACCAGGTTTAGGTTCTAGAGGTTGAGGTGGGAAATGTCCGCCTATCAGCTCCGGTTTAACACCGTTGATGCAGGCAGCTGGAGGCCAGGGTCCAGGCGATAGCGACGTGTGTGAACCAGGTGGCGGTGGAGCCAGCGCACGTGGTCTATATGGTTGAGGTTCCGGTGTGTTTTCAAGCTTTACAGAAGATAGCTGGGGTGGCGTCGCATCAGGTTTGTTGCTGGCAGGTGAGCATTCTGCCTTGACAGAAGCCGGGCTGCTCTCGAACTTGATGACAGAGTAGGGTGGCGCAGAGCGGATTACGGTGGGATGGCAAGCAGGCGATGGTGTCGGGGAGCCGCCGCCATCAAACACGGGCGGCGGATGCGGCGGCGTGCTGCAGCCCGCCTCGGCCATGCGCGGCGACGGCGGGCCGGGGTCCGGCGACGACGTGCTGGTATCTGCGGCCGACTCGCCTGTTAATCACACGCGTTTCGGTCAAGAACAGTGACGTGCAAACTCTTGTCTCAACGTGATAGAAAAAGAACACCATGGACTTTTTAGAAGCGACAAATAGAAACTAGGTGAAAAGTCAACGACCGCGCGGCGCGATCGTAGTTAGAGTGCGCGGGGAGCGACGCGGGGACGCGACACTGCACTTCCCGACGCCGCCGACTAGATTAGCTAGCCGGTTGCGTCACGATGTGAGCGCCGCCTTTGCCGTCCCGGCCACATTCAAAACTAATCTATTATATTTATGGACTGAAGTTTTGGAACGAGTAATCATAATGAGGTACGATCGCGATGTCCAAATTTACACGATAGTAACTAATTGATATATTCAGTTTTTGGTGTACAATGTTGCAATTTATGTAACTATCCGGAATAGATGTGGAAAATGTAGGAAGCGTGGATGCGGGTCGCGGCGCGAGCACGAGATGCGGTGGCGCGCGAGGAGAAAGTGAAAGCGGCGTGAGCGCAGATGCGGCGCCCGGAAGCGTTGCGCCTGCGCTGCGCTCACACACACACCACAAAGGGCTCTACGTCACACAACAATAACGTCTATTATGTTATATTGTTATAATTATTATAGATCCTTATATTATACCTAAATCATTCAAAAACTTTCGAATAACTTGTTATTAAAAATATATTTATTACTAAGCAAAGTATTGCTTACCTAAATTATACTTCCTATGGGTAGATACCTGTACCAAATTTATGAAAGAATTTATGACGAATATTTAGACTACCCAAAAATTATAAGTCAAGGCAGCAATCTTATTACTAGGAAGTCTAAGACTGCATTGTATATGAAAGGGGTATAATACAATATCACGAATAAGTGATATATCTTCTGAATAAGTTCGAGCTTAGAAGTAAATAGAAATATGTACCGAAAATTAAATCATTACCATAATTCTAAACACTAAACTTTACCGACTTTTTATTACTAAATCCATAGGCGTAGTCTTTACCCTCGCACGTGACCTGGCTTTTACATCGCAAACACGGTCAATAGTCCTTTGAGATTTAGGAGAACGATCTTATTTAATCACATTATTGTCCACAAGGGTAGTTTCGCAAATTTTAAGGTATTTAAAAATTTTAAGGAAAAACAAAAGTATCGCAGTGTAAATAATTAACGTCATTTGAGCAATGAAGCGCGGTTTTCCAGCTTAGAAACAGGGACGCGCGGGCGCAAAATTGTGCGCGGTTTTGTTTACACGAGGAAAAGTCGCGAAGAAAGTTTTCCACTGTCGGCGGCGCGACGTCGGGCGGCGGGCGCGCGCAGTGAGCCCGACCTACCGCACGAGCGGCAGCCGCGCCCCGCTCCCCGCAGCGCTTCCCGGTCCCTCCCTCCAGCCGCTATTAGGTCACTCAGACGGCCGTGCGTGCGAACTGCAACCGCACAATGACTAGTGCAACGCGTGCACCGCTCTCGCTTCGAGGACGATCTCTATTTCACGCTGCGTCCTTTGCCACATCATTGGTGGGGACCGATCTTTCTAGCCACGTGATGCAATAGCACTAGAGGTTCTAGGTAGACTCACACAAGCGCCTAGATAAACGTCCCGTTCTGATTACTTGTTTATGGTAGTGGTAATGTTGCACATAGCTAGTTTTCCTGTATCTCGTTGCCTTTGTACGAGCGTTAGAGTTCATTATTTTATGTTACACTACTCACACATTACAGCTGGCAGAGTAATCTAAGCAAACGATGTGGTATTTGTTTAGTAAAAGAATTGTGGTAGACAGACAACAATAAAGACGGTTACGCAATATGCAAGTCTTTTATTTCGGGGCGGATGAACGATCGTTTATTCAGTCGGTGCAGGCACGAAGGTCGGCCGCGGTCACCGACACATGGGAAAGTGGGTCACACCCCTACCACGGCACCGCGCCCCGACACCCCGAGGCTCCGCGTCGCCACGTGTCCGCGCTCTGCGGCGCACCACCGCCGGTGTCCCGCGTCCCGACGTGCATGCATCAATCACATTCTTCATTAGATTCATTACTGTATTTAATAATTGTCTTTACATTAGGTACTTATTAGAACTCTACCCCAAGCTTACACTCTGCAGTATTAGATAATCTTATCACGAACAATTGGCCTCCAAACTGCAGCGATATTGAAAAGGTATTACTCTCCGATACCTCAAGTGTAACTGGCCTCACAAGCGAAAATAGCGTGACGATACAATAGTTTTACTATTTCAGTTGAGTCTGTAGTAATTTATTTACGCACGCCGTTATCAGAGACCTTCGGAAGTCAGTACAACAACTTTATTGTTACAAGTTATAAGGATACGTAGGTATAGTTTTTCTACTAATATTTTAACGCATTCACTCCTAGCATTAGTATGTACAATTTAAAGGTGCGTATGCTCATTTATTATTAGAAGCTAAGAACGTATAGTTATTTAAAATTGTAAACAAACGTTGATAAGACATTACAGGAAATTTAATTTTATTAATTTATTTATATAACATAACATTATGTGAGTTTAATGCACTCTTCATGACTATTCAGCAGATAAGCGAGTGATGCATTTTCCTTGAAAATTCCACAAAGCTTTCAAGGCTATGCGTGTTGATCATAAATTGAATACGCAAGTTCATTTTGTTTCCAACGTACATTATTGTGTACATAAAATAAAATTAATATTTTAAAACAAATGACGAACACTAATTTGTCACCGCTAGCTGATGTAGGTACTGTACACGAACCCTTTTAAACAACAAATTAAATGACACGAAGCCCATTTGCCATGCACAATTAGGAGAGGCCAAAAAACAAAGTGGCTTGTCCGTTATCTCGTTAGTACGTACAAAGTGGTGTGTCACAAATGTGCGTGAGGGGCGCGTCACGATGACGCTCCCCGCGTCACGCTGCGGCCGCGTCACACCCCACGTGAACCGCTTTCCACGCCGCCACTGCCCCGCTCCGATATTCCCGACTTACACCGTTACACGGGTTTATTCACGATTTGATATCCAAAAATAGAATTCGTCTATTCTCGGAGAGCAATTTTAAATTGCCGAACATTTGCGATTTTTATTTTTTACGTTTACTACTCATTGGATACATAAATGATGATGAAAAATCACTGTATATTAATTTTCAGTTATATACCTGACTCCGGTAGTTTATATTCATAAAAATAAATGACAAAGAGACTACCTATGAGATTGAAATCTATGTACAGGTATTACTAATTTACTATTATGTATGTATGTAATGTACATTTTGTAACATATAATGTGCTTTATATTATACAGTATCGAGATAAAAGCAATTTACTTCCATTAACAAGCGTTTGCATTGTGTAGCTTAAGTGAGTGTATGCAAAAAATAAAAGATGTTCTCAAATCATTGTCTGTGTTAGCCTCGGGCCGTCGGGCGTGGTGTTACGTTATATGACAGTGAATACATCTTTCTCTCATGACTTATTCATGAAGCTACAATAACAATAATTACAGCACCGGTATTTATTGCTTTCACCTTTCGTGAGTTTACGTAAACTTTCTTTATCAGCGTGACTTCACTCGCTACGTCATTGTTTACGTAATAATTATTAAGTGTGAAATGCAAAAATATTTATCTGTGCGTGAACGTTTTTTCCAAGTTCACTGTTAATGTGGGAAAAGTTAAAGTTTACAGCAAATTTATTCATAAATACTACAAATAACTTTTAACATTCTTTATGGAATGGTGTAAAGTGCTGAAAAATATTTGAAGAACTTAAAGAAGTACAATATTTTTTTTATGTAAGTTTAAACAGTTATCAATTAGAAAATACAGATTAAAAATATTTATGTTAGATTTGATAACAAGAAGACAAAGATAGACAGAGATATCTAGTCTAGATTCTTTATTATTTTAATAAAACAATGTCTCTATAAATAATCGTTACACTAAAAAATAATAAGATTACGAAGATTATGCTCGCTATTCATAATCTGACAGCGACTGTTACTTGTCGAACCGGATCTTGTTTTTGGAAGTTTATTTTTTTAATATTTGTAAGTGAAAGTTTGCATTTCTCGGAACCAGTCTCGACTCTCTCACGCCGTGTTATGTTGATCTGTTATTTAACTTTCAGTGACGATCGTTATCAAACATTAATTTGTTTACGAATATCATCGTTGTGTAATTCGATTATGATAATATAGATTTCAATGACTTTTATTTAATGCATTTTCACTAGAAACGTTTTTATGGTGTTGTTATGTGAATGAAATTAAACAGCACGGAATATTTTTTGAAATTCGGACTATTCGGTTGAAAATATGAAAATCGTTTTCATGTTTTATAATATGTTTTGTAGCTAATACAGTAAGTTATTTTCAAAACATATTGTTGTCTGTATTAAGGTTTGATATTTGTCATAGAAAATTTGAAAATTGAAGTCATGTCTGCTTAGATGCTCAGCCAGCATACATAATCAGATGTCATTACAAAAATAAAAATAAAAACAAAAAAGTAAAACTGCTCCGCTACCATTAGTGGAAATGCTAGGGTCACGTTTAAATGAAAATGAAATTACTAGTAACAAAAGACTTCACAGCGACAGAAAGTGATAGCGGTCCGTGATCCGCGTCACAACTATGGAAGACATCTCGACACGAATAACAAGTACCGCCGCCGTGCTGCGACCTTAGTCTCGCACTTTATCTATTTATTTACAATAACAATAACGGCTTGTTACGTCTACTACCGGCCGGTCTGGCGAGTCTGGCAACCCTTTGTGTTTCAACATCGCGGGAAATAAAAAATGTCTATGGTGTTCTTTTTTTAAATGTTCGACTATGAAAAAAAGTGGTATTTCAAAATTGACTAGCAATATAAATGTTCAAATTAAAAACAATCATTATAATAAGATAAGTATCCATTTACTCGGAAATATAAATGATTAGTATGCGTTACTTACCATCACTGCTACATCGGGAGTCAACTTTCCGCCTCTTGAGTTTGAGGTCTTGGAACAGACTCATGTTGTCGAGGTCACACGGGCCGCGGCTGAGGGTCATTATTCCTGTAGGCAAAACAAAATTATAAAAATTAAAAAAAATCGGTTTAAAACCTTTTCTGTTGCTTAAAATAATACAAGCACTTTAGAATACCTTCCTCAATTCCATAGTCCAAAATTAAAAAAAGTATTGGTTCTTCTTTTAAAATGAGAATGGCTGCCGAGCCAACTTTTGTTTTGCAGAAACAAAAAACAATTTTGTGATTAATGGAATGGATTAGTGACCGCTAATTTATTTACAAAGGATCTTTAATCGGTATGTTTAATATCAATATTTTAATAGAATATCATTTAAATGTTGTTTAAAATCCTATCTTGTTTATTGTCTCTGAATTGTTGTTTGATTTTAAATTAGCCGTAGAATTAATTTTATAATGAGGTTGTTTGAATTGTAATGGCTGTCCAATTAGTTAATTAGTGTAGGTTAAGGTCACTTACGGCAATCCGGCGACATGTCTGGTCTAGACACGTAGTGTGGTCCGGATATTATCGGATATCGATCGTGCATCATTTGTAAATATTAATTTTCCGAGATTAAATAATATCATATTTCAATGTCAGTCCGGTTCATGGCGGGTGCTGACTACGGGCGGAAAGCGCGTGACCCTTGGTTTTATTTCGATGTCGTGTGATTTCCATTCATCTTACGTGGACGTAGAGTGCATTTTATAGCTTTGATAACGGCAGTAGGTAATGGAATTTGTAGTAGATATCGTGCCCACGTACGTTGTGAGGTCATACACGAAAGTGTAATGCATTTTAACAGGCAAATATTATTTGCGTCGTATATTCACACGTCATTATGTTGCATAACGATGTGATTCTCTTTAATGGTCGGATTATGAATTTAAGTGATGTGCTACTACTTTTACTTTATTGCTGTTTAGTTGTTTGCAAATGTCATAAAGTAAGAGGTATTAACTGTTAGGTAATCGTTTGTTGTTCGAAGCTACTGCTTTTTATCTTATGGTAATGTTAAAAACAGTCATTGTATTATATATGTTTGTATGTGTATATAAGGTAAGGAATGGCTTTAAAGAAATTGAAGATAAATAACATAATTTAAATGATAACTACCGTGAGACATATTAAATTAACTAAAATCGCGGGTTACTCACTTGAATATACTGAGAAAAGCTCTACTAGTTTCGAACCACAGAGGTTCAGTATATTCAAGTGAGTAACCCGCGATTTTAGTTAATTTAACATAATTTAAATCGAGTAATAAATATACTTTGGTAGAGCTATGTTATGTATTTGTAAAATTGTGTTTTATTTCTTACGAGCATTTGTACATTATGATAATATGAATATTGCATTGAAATATACTAATTTATTCATTGTGACGAAATTGTCGTCACGAAAATCATGACCGATTAATGTATATTGTAGACAATCGATTTCAATTGATGTAGGAATTCGCAAACCATTATTATGTATCTACGTACGAATATGTTGTGTATGTTTAAATAGATGGTTCTAATGTAGACACACACGTGATAGGTCAACGGACAGTATCCATCATATTATTATGTACGTGTCACATGGGTAGAGAAATTCGACAATAATTTTATCAAAATAGGTTCTTTAACCCCAGTATTAAAATACATGAGTTCATGTATCTCGAGTTGTTGATAAATTTTGTTCATGAACACAATGGTGTGGGTTGTAATGATCTGATTACGTCATTGTGATACGAACAAACTTGTGTGAACTATAGTTTTCGACTTGGTCATTCCGAAATGTACGATATGTACTGATAATCTTGTCTGGATTATTATCATGAGCGTCATATTGTACCCGGAACATTTACAACACCGTGCAAAGTCTGTTTTATGGAATTAGGTATGATATAACGTGTATTTAATGTCTAATACGTATTTCCACACGAAATATTTGCGTGACTGCGTTGAACAGTAAACTGTAGTACGTATTTGTAGAATCGTGTTGTAACATTGACGTAGAATATCAGAAAAAACTCGTAAAAACATATTTACACCGGCGCGTGATAAGAGATTGACTCATTCATACGTCACTTCACAGTTAAATTATAAAGATTAGAACAACGTGCCACTACTTAGCAACAGTAATCAAAAGATTTAAAAGCCTATCAACTATAGTGCATGACCATTTAATATATTTTTCAATTAGGTACGTGTTTCCCGATGACGTTCATGCTTAACTAATATTTCAAGCAAATATAAATTCATATTTTAACATACGTCACACTTGAACACAGGTATTTGTTAACTCATCATATAGAGGAGATGAAAATTACCCAGCACCAAAGATTTGAGAAGAAAAATAATTTGATCGTTATTCTAAAATACATACATTACGTCATATAGATAAATCAATTAGTCACCAGTCACCACTTTAAATACTCAGTGTTTATATCTCAAGTGAAATGATTCTCTGAAATTAATTTTGTGTAAAATTCGAGTGCAATGTTCTTTGAATGTATTTTGTCAACATTTATCGAAGTCTAGTCTCCCAAATAAACTAGTGTGAGTCAAAGACCTTGATAGTGACGTATAAATGACTCAATAAAATTATTCGCGGATTCGGCGCAGCGACGCGATGTTCGCGAGCTTTGCGAAGGCCATGAGCTTTGACTTCCGCGGACATATAGGAAATAAATACACTTATAACTTTATTACTTTTATATATGGTGATTATATTATTTGTATATCGAAAATAACCTTCTTTGGGATCGAACAAATATTTTTTTTATTAACTGTCTGTATGTATGTGATTTTATCTTTATTGTTTTTGCAACAATATCTACATTTACACCTTTAATTCACAGGTTCAAGGAAGCGGAAGTATTGGGTTGGTGTTGCTTGGAATCTCAGTCGAGTGGCCTTTGGTAAAGGTACGAATTGCTTTATCAGTAGTTTAGCCTTATTAGAAGTTTATTAACGCATTGATGAATTTATAGTCATTTAGTTGGTTTCTTCTAATGTTTATTAGTTTATATATAATCATTGTTTTAAGTATAAAACTTAGGTGCTTACTTTGTAGAAACTGTTGTAGAAACTATCACACTAATAAATAATAATATGCACCTCAACGCGACCAAATACATTAAGCAAAACAAGTTGATTTAACTTTATAATAATGTACCGATGTATTGAAACTTTAGCCCTATAAATATGCATACGAGTGTTTAGATAAAGGGATAATGGAATGGAATTGGTTGATCTTGAACGTAGCCTAAAGCAAGATCATACATACGGAAGCGCGTGCGTCCCCGCACAGGGTCGGACACTTGACCGCTCGTCTGTTCGGCTTTGTTTAATTGCATTCATTATTGTTGCTTATTATACAGTACCGCGTACGTTCCCAGTGATGTCCTTGGCGGCACAATGTAGGAATTTGACAAGTATGCAGTTCCGTTGTTTAAAAGAGTACCATAAGAATGAACGCATATCAATTATGTGACACAAAAATAAAAAAATAAATTGACAGTATAAATATACTGTAAACCAAAATATTTAAAGAATAAAATCACATCATGATTCTAGTCTTGGTTTTTAGTCATATCATTATGAATATAGGCTTATAACGCGCTTGATAAAGGGCAATGTTTGATAATACAGGTTTGTTTTGTTATTTTTTCATTGCTTTAATCGTTTGATCATTCAAATGTGTTTTGTAAATGACTTATGTAGTCATTTTTTGATGACCACCAACGTGTATTGAGGTATTTTTATAAAAATCTGACAGTTATTGACGCGTGATCATTGCGTTCGCTTTGTTCACAGAACTAAGCACGAATAATGACTAGAGTTCAAGGAAAATCATATTTGAGGACACAATACAAGGCTGGTTCAATTTAAGGGCCTGATAAACACGTGTAGTGGCCGAAAGCAATGTACTTGACGGCCGGAAGTGTGGTGACCTCTACCGCGGTCGCCTGCTTATCGCCTACGGTTCCGCTGTTAGGGTTCCGTCTTTTAAAGATATAACACCCACAATAACACGTAACAAATTGACCGTTGGAGATATAAGAACTGAGAAAGTACTACAATATGAAGTCAGTATGATTTATTTTAGGAGAAGACTTGGTTTTTCGCAGTGTTAATATTTATGTGGGAACAACCTATAATTTGTCCATACACATTCATATCTACCGCTTGACTGCCATTACCTAAAATCCTATATTGACTGACTGAAGATTGAAATTGCAAAGTAGAATGTTTTATAAAATTTTAGTCATAGAAGTGTATCCGTTATGTTTTGGTTTAGTTCGTGACCTACATGTAGTGGTAATCTGTTTTCATGAACTCGTACGAGTGTAGGCAGGTTCATTGCAACTATATTTCGAAGTCCGCAAATATAAATATTATTGTTGGCTGCACTAAATATTGTGTGAACGTATTTTCAACTTTATTGTGAAACATACAGAACTCTGTTTGAAAATGAGGTGCAAAATCTGATTAAATGAAATGTTGACTTATTTTAGGAAATATTTGAAAGATGTCTATCTTTCAAAAATCTTGAAGATTGTCGCTGGCACAAAAATAGAAATATTTACCAGACGAAAACGGATTAAAACGTGCCTAATGATGTACTTATGAACATTGGTTTAATCATAAACATTCCTCTTAAAAGCTCAATGAGCGCTTTGGCAGTTCGCCACGTGATTTTAACAAAATGTTTACTAAACCGTAAAAAGTATCGCTTTTTTATGTCTACAGTTCATCGGTGCAATGCTCTTGTTAATGTTCTACTGTTTACTCTCCGTGCTGTTAATGGAAGTGCAGTACTAAACAGTCGAGTATTTAGATCGCAATATTAACCCTTTTTCTTCTTAAAAACCGCGCTACACCAAAGTAATAAAGAAGTTATTAGTTCTCAGAATTGGTTTGATATTAATTATTCTTATTAATAAAGAACATTTTCTTTCCAAGTGTTTTTGATGTTTCACTCCGGAGTTGCCAATACCAGATGGCATCACGAGTTCCGAAGATTGTTTAACGAAACGGACGTAGAATGTATCAAGCCAGTCTCGTGTGAATGTTGTAAGTTGTCAAGGTTGCTCGTACCAACTGGTAGTTCTTCTTGCATCATGCTAGTCTCAGCTAGCTAAATATTTGGAAAATGTAAGCTGCAATACTAATCTAGACTTCATTTAATTATACTTTTGGTTGGTTTTGTTTGATTATATACATGCCAGAAACGTTGACAGTAAATAATAAAGCGTAATTTAAAACATTTGTTGAATAAACAGTTAAAATAGTGCACAGCTTATTCTAATACAAAAATAAAACATAAAAGCTATCAATTGCTGCGCAAAAAAGCGTGACGAGTTGTTGACCTTCGTATTTCCGAAACAGATGGATTTATCTGACCGATTTAAGAATGTTATTAGAGTCCAGTAATAGACCAGTTAAGATTGTACATCTTATGTTGTGTGTGTAATGTGTCAGGAAGTGGTCGAGTGGTTCCGGTCTCAATGTCAGTGTCACCAGCGAGGTCGGTTGCCCGATTCGACGCCAACGACCG